GTGCGCGCCAGGCATGGGACAAGGGCAAGCGTGTAAGCAAGCAAAACGTCAGACCCCGTGCTGTTTTTGTTTGGGGGTGTGCATTAGAAAGCACTTCGTGTGGTAGGGGGCATAGATTTGCTGTAGCAGCCTTAAGCCTTTTCACTTTATGTTTTCGGCCGTATGTCTAGGTGAGACATGATTCGCACTTTCGGCAAGGGACGAGGCCCCCTTTTGGCAAGGGGTGAGGCGGCCCTTTCGGGCAAGAGGTGAGGCGGCCCTTTTGGGTAAGGGATGATGCCCCCTTTTGGCAAGGGGCGAAGCGGCCCTTTTGGGTAAGGGATGATGCCCCCCGTTTTGGCAAGAGGTGATGGGTAAGGGCTACTCTTTTGACGGGGGCTGCAGGGCTTTGGCCCTTGGTGCCCCCTTTTCTCAAGGGGCTCAAGCCAGCTCAGTCCTGCTGGCACAGGTCCTCCCTAAGCTGCTTCCTCTTTTGTCAAGTGGTTTGTTCGCATTTTGCTCATGATGGTGTCAATGTGTTGAGCAAATTTGCTAGACCGCTTCTTGGTGACTTCCACCACTAATTTCAATTTCTTTCTTCCTGGCTCCTTTGTGCCTGTAATGTATTGTCTCTCTGGCTTCGTAGCATTTACCTTTTTGAGCTTGAGCCAAGGCAGCCTCGCACCACTGCTGGGCTCACTTGCTGCGGTGACATCTTGCTGGGCGCTTGGTCGCTTTTTGGCCCTTTTGGCAAGGGCTGCAAGCTTCTTCGACACAAAGCCCATGCGAATTTTCAGATCAGTGCCAGGTGGAGGGGCAGCAGGTGTTGCGTGAGCTTTCGACCCCAGCCTTTTCCTTAAAAAGGAAGGCTCTTTGAGAGGCTGCGCCATTGCAGCTTCCGCTTTTGCCAAGGGATGAGCTGCGCAGGGCTCCTCTTCCGCATCTTCCAAGGGATGAGCTGCGCAGGGCTCCTCTTCCCCTTTTGACAAGGGGCTGCCCGTGTCGACGGATTTTTTTCCTTAGGCGTCAGCCAGCACTTGGGGAACCCTTCGGCGTCAACTGACACATCGCTCACTTCTTTCTTAAGCCTTTTGGCCTGGGAATCCCTTTCAGCAAGGGTTTTGTCGGCGGTGTCCAAGGCTGGAGGGCAAGCTGACTTTTTGTCAATAAGGCCGAGCACATCTTGCAGCTGAATGAGCTCAGCGCTTGTGAGCCTGGCTGCGCAAGTCCTGAGGTCTGTTTCTGCGTTTCAGCCTTCTCATGTGAAAAAGGATCACGCCCAGCCGTTCGACTTTCATTCCCACCCAAACCCCTCCGTTGAATTTCGTCCTGTTTAGAGCAGGGTTTTGCTGGTAGGCTCTGGTCAGCGCTGCTCTCAGATTGCTCTGATGATGTATCTTGCAGCTCTTTTCAGCTTGCACCAGAGCCCTGACCAGCCCCAGCACATGCACCAAGCCGTTTGGGTTGCAGGCTTGAGTCCTGCTCACGTTTTCGTACGGGCCAAGGTCAGACAGCAGATCGCTGTGGTTGGACAAGATCTTGAACCAGATGTCAGCGTCCACCCTTGGCTTTGAGAAATGCCGGGCCCCGCCTTTGCCTGCTACTAAGGCCATGGCGCCCTTTTGTCAAGGGCTGACGGCAACGGACCAGAGTCTGTGGAAGAGGCGCCCTTTTGTCAAGGGCTGACTGCAATGGACCAGCGTCTGTGGAAGAGGCAACCTTTCATAGCTGGAGCCAAAGTCTCACAGCCGCGGAATGAATGTGAATATATATATATATGTTATTGCGCTAGCTCACGACCTGCAAACTGGAAGTTGGAATCAATAGAAAACGCAAAGTGTGAATCAATAGGAAATACATCGAAATCAGCCAAAAATATCAATAGAAGGTAAAAGTCTTGGCAGTGCAGCTTCTAATTGAAAAATCAATTAAAACAATCCAAATCAATATCAATAAAAAAACGTTGTTTTTCATTGATCAGAATCAATAGCCGATGCTCAGGGGTTGTGACGGTTTCTGAGGACGAGGCTGAAGTGCCTTCCCCTCCTCGAGCTAAGGCGAAGCTGTCGGCCAGGCCAACTGCGGCCCCTAAGGCGGTGCCTTCGACTGGGCGCTTGTCGGCTCCGGTGGCCGGGCTTCTTGAGCCTAGGCCCGCCTCAGCTCCTGCACCTGCGCCTCGCGCGGTCCGGACCGGGGTGGTGAGGGGTGTTCTTGATTTTCACGGTGTCCTTGATAGGATTGAGGCTTCGAGTCGGCACTTGGGTTCCATTCCGAAGGAAAACGTTTCGGACCTCTTTCACTATTTGAGGGGTGACGATCGGCGCGAACTGGTTGTGACGTACATCGGTGTCAACAGCACTGCAAGGCGTCAGAACACTCGGCTGGAGGTGGCCAAGGTGAATCGCATTTTGCAGGGTCTTGGAGTCCAGGATCATCAGTTGCTTAGGTTTGCGATTTGTGATCGGAGGGACGAAAAGGGGAGGCACTGTCAGTCCTTTGGGGCTCACTGGCTTGTCGACGACGGAGGTGAGTGCATCAAGTCGGCTGTGAGGTTTGCCCCGCAAACAAAGAAGTACCTGGTCACCAATCGTTTCGGTGAGGTCGTCAGGATTGGACTCCAAGGTGAAGTGACGGCCGTCGCGAGCGTCAGGCAGGACCTCTTGCAGGCCTGAGCACTGGCGCTGGACCCTTCGAGCTCTCCTTTGGCTTGGAGCCGATTGGAGAGACCGTGAAAACGTGACTTGGATCAAAATGAGCGACCTAGAATATAGTTCGACCTCGACCGGAGAGGTCGGTTTGGTGTGGCACGGGCACAATCGGTTTGGTGACTGGGGTCTGCGGGACGAGGGAACGAAGATGAAACCGTAGCTGAAGAGATTGAGGCCCGATCGATGGAGATCGATGATCGGATGCCCGGCAACTGCACCTCGCTCAGGAAACGAACATGAGCATTTTCCATGATGCCCGCCAATCGAATGTCTTGAATCAGGATGTTCAGATCGGTGCCAATCCGGAGTTGTTGTTTCGAGCCGCAGGGGAGGCGATTGATGCCCACAAGGCCGCAGCTGAGGCAAAAGCATCGCCGGCTGTGTCAATCGTCAATCGCTTGCAAAACGAGCTGGAAGACGCCAAGCAGAGGGAAGTGGCCCTCAAAGAAGAGCTTAAAACACTTCGGGCTAACTTGTTGTCGGTGTCTCAACAAACTCCCACTTCAAGAGCGAATGAGCAAAAATGGTACGGAAATTTGGAGCAGGATTGAAAACATAGAGAGGGCGGTCGATCGAGAGTTCGGGATCCTGAGGAGTCGCATGAACACCTTTCAAGGGGATTTGGACCAACTCCACACTAAGATGACGCAATGTCAGGAGGATATCTCATGTGTAAAGGATATCGTTCAGGCTTGGTCCGGAGAGGATGATGCACGGCAGGACGACTGGTGGAACTGAGGCCAACGTCGACTTAGTTCCTTCGTCCAGGACGCAAACCCCCATCATTGCCGAAACCTCAGAACCCTCTAACGTGGATCCGGTGCTTTCTGGTGGAGTTCAGTTTTTCAGACTGTCTTCAGGACCGAGGGATGATCCCACTCCGCTCCCAGCGCCTCGCGCGGGGCAGGATTCCTCCTTCCGCCCCTTCGTTTCATTCCTGCAGGCTCGGGGACGGTTTGAAGTCCAGAACCAGCGATCAAGACATTGAAAAGAGGACCCTCAAGATCAAAGACTTGTCCAATTTGAGGATTCCGCTGCCCGGAGCAGCTGGCACATTCAGGTCATGGAAGAACTCAGTGGTAACAATGTTGAGTTTTGGCTTGTCGCCGAGGGTCTTCTGAATGAGCGGTAGAGAGGGCTCAAAGCCCGAACTGAGGAGGTTGAAGAACTGAAGCGGTTCGGGGAGTTTCCGAGGTTCGATCGCACGGCGGCTGCCTTGACTCGTCCCGAAGACTTGAAGAGCATTTTTGGCTTTCAACTGTCGTACATCGAGGCTTGTCAGAAGGTCACTGGGATGCGAGGCAGGTTTCTCCTCAACATGATAGTCCGAGAATTCGACCCGGACAGGACCTTTGGAAATGTTGTTTCATCTTCGTGGTCCCTCTTTCTCAGCCGCACCAACCACTCCCTTCACGCTGTTCGGCTGCTTTTGTCTTCCTGCAGCAGCAATCTTCCTGCAGCAGCAGATGACCCTGCCGAGCTTGAAATCACCTGATTTGCAGTGTGTGCTCGCCTGTTGCAATTCCGGCGCAGGACCGGCAGGTCTCGCAACGCACCTCGCAGCTCCAAGCGCCGCTTCGCGCTCTTCCTGCGCCGTGCCTTCGGAGACAGGGTTTCTCAACCGTTCCTTGGCTGGCACAGCGCAAGCATCGTGTTGGTTCGCTGCTATCCGGCACCCGGAGACAAAGTTCGGCTTTGGAAGCGCTCCAAAGCTTCGTTCAGCGCACAGGCCTTCCGCTTAGGTCTTCCGCTCTGCGCCGCGTGTCAGCATAGCCTTAGCGTCGTGCTTCACAGCACGTCTCCACAGCCTTGCTGCCAAGCACAACATAGCTCTGCTTCCCCGCGCATTTCACCATAGCCTTGTTGCACGGCGCATCTCAACATAGTTTGGCGTCGAAGCCCATCTCAACATAGCTGTGCTGCGCAGCGCGCCTCCTTGCTGCGCAGCTCTGCTTGGGGGCAAGATTGGGCTCTTTCTTTTTGATAAACGCTTTCGGGATAATCAGGGTATATAGCTGTTTGGTGTGCAGTTCTCTTTGTTTGAGGCGTCCCTCCCCTGTGTTCTGTTTTTAGTCCTTTCTATTGTGTACATGTGTTTTCTCCTTGTGCTTCAGAAGCATTTCAGTGCGCCGACTGCTCTGCCACCTCCAAAAGCTGGGTTGTAAAACCGATGTTGGTATGTGCGTTGAGCGCCTAGGGAACTCCCGTCCCAAGACTCATTGTCTACTATCAGAGTTACTCTCCATGGCCAAGCCACATGCGACAAAACGAAATACGTAACGCGAAACAAAGCGAAATGCCGATTGCACTGCGCGCTCTTTCTCTGTAAGCTGCCGTCACTGGAACGTGTGATGCCACTTGAGCGCAAGCAAAAACTTGCGCGAGGGCTTTCCCAGCTCGCAGGCAAGCGCAGCCTGTGCCGAAGCACTACTACACGTGTGGCGAGCGCAGCACTTGGGATGCGGCAATTACGGCTGCGCACAATTGCGGCAATTATGCTGACAATGCGTCTTGGATGCTGCTGCCATGCAAACGCAAACGCAAGTCATCACATCGCTCGCGCCCCAGCAAGCTTAGCCTTGCGGTTGTCTGCTCTGTCTGCTGTTGGTGCCTCGGGTATGGGTCAAAGAAGTGTTCTGAAACGTGTTAGCACGCAACAACCAGTCTTTGTGTCCGGTGCGACACTTGCGCGGACAATTCCGACGCGACTTACGCCCCAGCGTTATTCTCAAAACTGCGCAATGTCCCAGCGACCTTGCCAAGCAACACTGTCTACCGGGACACTGAAGTCCATAGCTCCACAATCGCTCAACTCAGCAGACATTATATAATATACTAGACTGTCGCTGGCAGCTTGGGGGCTAATGCAGAAAAAAGCAAACCCTGGCCGGCATATGCATGGGACTTGCCACGTTGAAGCAGCAACAAGATCGCCGTCGCTTCTTCTCAAATCCTTTGTTTTGGGGGGCCCAGAACCTGGGCAACGGATGCGCAATGCTCTTGCATGCGGCTGGGAAGCAACCGACAGTCAGGGCGTCCAATGAGTCAGGCTGTGAAGGACGAGGGGTTCGGATTTGAAGTCTCGACCGTCTTTCTTGACACGCATCTCCGACATGTTTCACAACCAAAGCCCGAGCTGGCGCAAGTGGGCGCCGGAGCAGACAGACAAGCTCCGCAAGCCGAGCCAAGCAAAACATGGACCCAGCGTCGCCGAAATTAGAGGCTTGTTTGTGAACAAGCCCTGGCTAAGTTCTTTAGCACCCAAGAGCCCCCCCCAATTGTCAAGGCGTCGGGGCAATTCGTCTGCCAGCAGATTAGATTCCGATAGATAATCATTTGCTGCGCAGGCAAGGCAGGGCTCAAGAAGGCGCATCATCTGCAAATTAGCTGCTCACAGCCGAAAGCTTTGCGGCACTTGCTTTTGAAGGTGGCGCTCAGCTACTGTGGCGCTCATGCGCTCAAGCATTCACGTGCAAAGGCAAGGAAAGCTGGGGCCGCTATTGGACTCGTCCACTGGATAGATCTGAAGAATTTCCGCTGCTTCGCTCGCGCCGCAGCTGCAAGCGGAGTGTCAGCGTCCAAATCGTTGCTTTTGACAGCCATTGGTTGAATCAGCAACAACAACTCAAGCCGCGTTTGCGACGACAGCTGATAGCTGCATCTGCGACGACTCACTCAAGCTTGCCATTGCAAAGCAACGGAGATGGACCGCTGTGCCAAATAAGCGCAACCTCCCTCCAAGGACAAAGAAGCCTGCAAACTGCAAGGCTGCTTCAAGCCCACTTAAGCCTGCCTCTTGGCAACCTGCAAGCCAAGATAACCCCATCTGCAAAAGTAGACATTGGACTTACTGGGAAATGGGCGCTCACTGACGCTCGAACTAGTTTGTATGGCAGCTCTGTGATTCTGTGGGCTCCTAAGTCCGCGTGCGCGAGGAACAACAGCACGACTCGCTGATGGTATGAGCTTGCAACTGCAAATAACGCAAGCGAGCTTGGATGGATGGGTGACCTCGAATCGTCATGGGGCAAATAAGCGTAACCTGCCTGCAATGCCCCCAGCAAGTCCAAAGGACAAGGTAAACGAGCACGTTTGACAAAGGTGCTGTCTTTACTGGAAGCCCTAGCATGAGTAAACGAAGGGTGTCTTTTCACGCTGTTTTCCTGAGGTGTTTACGGTCTTTCACGGGTTTCTCACGCACCTTTCACGGTGTTGAAATCCAGCCTCTTGACAAAATGCTGGTTAAACGGGCACTTTGAGTTAAACGAGCACCTGGAAGCGCTGGGCACCAAAGAAGCCAGGAATCTTTAAGCCCGCCTCCTGGCAACCTGCAAGCCAAGACGGGCCCATCTGCAAGAGCAGCCGGTGGACTTGCTGGCCTACTGACGCTTGAGCTAGTTTGTATCGAGCCAACATGGCCCCAGCTCTGTGATTCTGCGGGTTGCCAAATGCGCACGTGGCAAGGAACAACCACATGGCTCAGGCTGATATCAGCTTGCAACTGCAATCGACGCAAAAGCACTGGCATGGAATTTGCCAAGTAGACTCGTGGCGCACCAACGGCAGGCCTTTTAAGGAGAGGAAAGTGCCAGGGAACGTCACAAGTCCCAAGAAGGAGTCTGCAGTCCAGCTGAGCAATGGTCCAACGAAGGAGCCCTGAGGCCGAAGCCAAATTGAGAACTGCGAAAGCCAGGGGCCAGAGAATGCAACGAACAACACAGGTGGAAACGTAGCCACGCGACGGCAAAATCCATAGTGAAAGCAAGGCTGCAAAAGCCTCCGGTTGTTGCAAATGGGCTCACTCCTTCCGCGAGCCATGCCCATGCCCACTTACTCGGCCGACCTCAACTTCCTTCCGAAGCGCCGGCTCTCTGCTCCTTCTTCGCCGGTTGCTGCTGTTTTCTAGGCCGGCAGGCCGGCTTGGCGCTTGCGTGAATTGCTACTTGCTGTTGCACAACCATCAAGGCCACATTGTCCATCCTGAGTATGCCTTACCTTGTACAGGGGAGAAAAGTGCATCACCCTTTGGCTCCTCCATGTCGATTCCCCAGCTGCGCTTCAGGTTGATAGCAACTTGTCAAGGTCACAAACAAAGGCGAGACTAACTCCCCGTCGCCTGTGACCAGCGCTCGCACCAATGGAACAGGTGGCGCGTTTGTTCTAAGTACGGGTGCAAGACAAAAACATGTTTGCTCGCTTTTCACCACCTGGCTGTACAAAGCTGTCTGACACTACCTGCTGTCATACAGCCTGTTGTCATCTCTGACTCACGTCGCCCTTGCTGCTTGAGTCGACCGCGTGAGCACAACTTGGTGGCTCATCCCAACTCGTTGCCCGGGAACTGAGAAATTGCTCTTGCGTGCAAATCAAAGCCAGAAACGGCAAAGGATAAAGCCACTGACACCACAGCATTCTCGGCTGCAAAGCTGTAAGTTGATATTAAGCAAGCCGCAACACATAGCGCATTCATGCTTTGCCGTGCAGTTTGCCAGTGGCAAAAGGCAACCAACTGAGCTTAGATGACATCAAAGATATGCCAAGTTGCGCAAAATCTCTCGAGTGCAAAGTCTCCACTCGAGCAGTGCAATGCAACACTACTAAAGCATAGCGCTTGAATACTTGGATTGTTTGCAAATATGACTCAGTATCTGGACTTGGCAACGCCGTGCTTGCAACGATTGACGAATCTCCCGCTGCTGGCAGTATGATTCTGGATGTGTGGCAATGCGCTGTCAGTACGTCGCGAGCGCGCCTCAGGACTCCACGCTATGCTGCCGTGGCCTCAACGGATCTTGCAACGGCCGCCTCCCCAAGGTCAAGCTGCAACCAGTGCCAGCGAAAAATGGGCAGAAGCAACTCCAAACATCAAAATCCGCGGATATGCAAAGCATGCTTCCCGCGAAGGCCAGGATAGCCCACACCTAAGTCCCAGGAGGTGCTTTTCAGGACAAGCACTTCATGCTCCGTGCGAAACGAAAAAGACCGCCAACTCAGGGAGGAGCTTTGGCAGGAGCAGCTGACGTCGAGGCAGCTGCACACAGGGCCAACAAACGCAACCAGGCTACAGGCCTCTTGGCAAGCCAAGCGGGGCAACCGTCCAACGCTGGAAGCCTGCAACATGATCTTCGAGCTGAGCAGGCTCTGACACTGATGGCGCCACATCATGATGCGTCTATTGGCAGGAACACCAGGACAGGCAGAAATGCATTCAAGGCCATGCATGTGTCGGCAAAGGCAGCACTTTGGCAGCATGGAAGCAAGACCCGCACAACCGGCATGACAACGCCTCTGCGAGTTTTGAGGTTCCATCTCAACAGCCAGTTGAGTCCCCGCGCACTGCTAGGGGATTGCGAAGATGACCTCATCGGAAAGTGAGCCAAATACAGCGCAGGGCCAACGCGTAACGCAGTGTTCGATTTACGACGAAGTTTACGGCCCGTCACTCTGCAAATCCCTGGCATTTGCAGCAGTTGCAACTTGAACGAGAGGCTCGAAGCTTGCGGAGCTCACAAAACGCATAGACATGAGGCCACTGGAACCTACAAGTAGCGCTGCGCACGCAGCGCTGTGCGATTGGCATTCGCTTGTGTGGAATGCCCAAATGTCTCAAGCCAGCTGCAAGTTCAAACGAGCGTTGCTGTCCACCCGCTGGCTGTCAGGCCGCGACCTTTCTAGCATTGGCCGAAACGCGATGCGCGCACGGCCTGGCTTGGTCAGTCCTGGTGAACCAACTCTTGTGGCTGTGGCTCTGCCAAACGTGATGACATGGCATTGTCAGTACAAGGTGAACACCGTCAGCTTGTGCCCGTCCTTCCGAAAAGCCTCCAAGCTCTCGGGCATGAGCTTGTGTGCCATCAGCACAAGAGCCGCATTGGCCTTTGGAATGTCTGTGGGCGAAACTCTGTCCTCAGCCTTACGGTTGTCTGCTCTGTCTGCTGCTGGTATCTCGACCAGGGTCAAACGCAACAAACGTCTCTGGGTTGCCTCTCGTCTGCGATGAAGCATGTGCAACAATTGCGTGGGCGTTTCCGCCGGGACTTACGCTCCGGCGTTGTTCTCAAAATGGCGCAATGTCCCAGTGACCTTGCCAAGCAACACTGTCTGCCGCTACAGGTCCCGAAGCACTCAATTCAGTAGACTCACCAAACTTATCATTGGCAGCTGGGGGACCAATGCGAAAAAAGCAAACCCTGGCCAGCATATGCATGGGACTAGGCTCTATGTTGAAGCAACTAGATTGCCATTGCTTCTTCTCAGGTCCTTTGTTTTTCAGGGACCCGAAACCTGGGTAACCTAGGTAGGATTCGGACAGCGCAGAATGGACCCTGCGGAATAGTGCTTCATGGGGTGGCTGGGAAGCCACCGAAAGTCAGGGCAGCGTCCAATGAGTTGGGCTCGTGTGAAGGACAAGGGGTTCGGATTTGAAGTCTTGCCTGACATGCATCTCCGTCATGTTTCACATTCTCCCACTTCTTCCTCTTCTTATGCCTTTCTTGCGCCCTATCATTGGCGAGCTGGCGCAAGTGGGCGCCGGAACAGACACGCTAGCACTGCAAGCAGAAGTAGAGGCTTTCTTGCGTGCAAGCACTGGCCAAGTTCTATAGCACCCAAGAGCCCCGAATAGTCGACTGAGGATTCGCGTGTGAAGCGTCGGGGCAATTCTTCTGCCAGCACACTAAATTGCCATACCTGAGCATTTGGCGCAGGCAGGGCTCAAGCAGGCGCATCGTCTGCAAAGTGGCTGCTCACAGCCGAAACCTTCGCGAAACTTGCTTTTGAAGCTGGTGCTCAGCTATTGTGGCGCTCATGCGCTCAAGCATTCACGTGCGAAGGCGAGCAAAGCCGTGGCTGCTATTGGACTCGTCCACCGGATAGAACCGAAGAATATCCACCGCTTCGCTCGCGCCGCAGCTGCAAGGGGGGTGTCAGCGGCCAGCTCGTTGCTCTTGATAGCCGCTGGTTGAATCAGCAACAACAACTCAAGTTGCGCTTGCGACGACAGCTGATAGCATGTGAGGCCAAATGTCTCAGGCCAGCGCGAGCTTGGCATTGCAAAGCAACGCACAGCTGTGACTTGGAATCGGTGTGGCTCCAAATGTGCGCACACGAAGATGGACAGCTGTGATTTGGAATCGACATGGCTCCAAATAAGCGCAACCACCTGACAACTTGCAAGTCAAGATGAGAGCAGCCATTGCATTTGCCCGGAAATGGATGCTTGCTCACGCTCGAGCTAATTTCTAATGAGCCACGTCCCCAGCTCTGTGCTTCTGCGGAATCCGAAACGCGCGCGCACGTTGCAAGAAGCAACCACATCGCTCAGGCAGATATGAGCGAGCAACTACAGATCAAGCAAGCAAACACGGAGATGGACAGCTGTGACTTGGCAACGGCATGGCTCCAAAGAAGCGTAACCTCCCTACAAGGCCAAAAAAGCCAGCAAACTGCTTCACGCCCAGTCTTAGGAGCGGTCACCAAAAAAGAGACACTTTGTCACAATATGGGTCTAGCAAGCCGAGGGGCTTCCGCAACCTTCCACGACATGGGGTTTTGCCTCCGCGGCAACAAAGCTTGCAATATGCTACCATGCCCACTCCTGCAGCAGAATACTTTTAGGCGCCAAGAATTTGGCGCCCCGAAACTAGGGTTGCTTCATGGGCTGTTTGATCGCTGCTCCAGTGAAGCCCGGCCTCCTAGCAACTTGCTAGCAACTTGCAAGCCAAGATGGCCCCATCTGAAAGGGCAGCTCACTTTGCAAGGAACAACCACGTGGCTCAAGCTACGAGCTGGCAACTGCAAACACACTGAGATGGATGGCTGTGCTGCAAGGCAAGATGGCCCCATCTGCAAGAGCAGTCATGCGTGCAGAGAAACGGATGCCTACAGACACTCGAGCTGGTGCCCAGATGGGCAAAATTCAAAAGCTCGACCAAATTGCTAACGGCCAATTTCGCGCTCGCGGGCCCCCAAGTTTCTTTGAAACAGCGTGCCACCAACATGAAACTTGCCAAGTAGACACAAACGGCAGGCCTTTTGAATAGAGGAAAGCGAACGTCACAAGTACTCCTGAGAAGGAGCCTGCAGTCTTCCAACCAGGTCAGAGAAGAGTAAGAAACGTAATTTCTATCACGATGGCACTGCACTGGTGGCAAACTCCGTTGACACGTAGCCCAGTCTCCAGTCTGTAAGAGAGCACGGTCTGCTTTTTGGTCGACACATCATCTTTTGGATACTCCATGCAGATTCCCGAAAAGATGCGCTTCAGGTGGATAACAGGAGTTACTTGTCAAAAGTCACAAACACAGGGAAGACTAACTGTCCATCGCCGGTGACCAGCGCTCGCACCAGTGCAACAGGTAACGCTATGCGTTTGTCCTCACAAGTGTAATTAAGTGCGTGTGCAAAGCAAAAGCATGATTGTTCGCTTTTCACCAATTGGCCGCAAACATCAGCTGTCTGAGACTACCTGCCGCTGTCATACAGCTTGTTGTCATCTGTGACTCAAGTCCGCTTTTGCTTGAAAAGACGGCTCAACTCGTTGCCCGGGAACTGAGAACTTGCTCTTGCTTTGCGAGCAAATCAAAGCCAGAAACGGCGAAGGACAAAGTTGACATTGACACCAACGCATTGTCGGCCGCAAGGCTGCTCGTTGACATTGGGCAGTGTGACTGAAACAAGCAAGCCGGAAAAAATCGGAGAGCGTGGGATTTGCCTTGCAGCTTAGTGACAAAAGGTACCCAACTGAGCTGGGATGATGCCATAGCTATGCGAAGTTGCGCAACATCGTCGCGTGCAATCTTCCAATTGAGCTGTGCAATGCAACAACCTTCTCAGCAGCCATTACCGAAGCATAGCGCATGACTACTTGGAGTGTTCGCAAATATGACTCAGTAGCTGGACTAGGCAACGCCGCGCATGCAACTATTGACGAATCTGCTGCTGGCAGCATGTGCAATGCGCTGTCCGTAAGTCGCACCAAGCCCTCTTGACGACTCCCACGCTATGCTGCCGTGGCCTCAACAGATCTTGCCATAGCGGCCTCCCCACAGACTCCAGCTGCAACATGCCGCAACCACTGCTAGTCAAAGTTTCGGGGCCACGAAACTCCCAAGGCAAAATCCGTGACTATGGATATGCAAAGCATGCTGCCCGACGCCAAGATAGCCCACACCTAATTCCCACGAAGCCCGTTTCAAGACAAGCACTTCATGCCTTGGTGCGCGGATGCGAGACTGCCAACTCACGGAGGAGCGGTAGGAGCCGCCGATGTTGAGGCAGCTGCACACAGAGCAAACAAACGAGACCTGCAAGTGCTGGAGTCAGAGCGCGGACAGCTGCACGGAGCACTCAACAGGATCTTCGAGCTAAGCAGTCTCTGACACTGATGGCACCACATCACGATGCTGCTTTTTAAGTGGGCGCGATTGGGCAGGAGGATATGTGGCCAATGCCAGGAACACCAGAACAGGTAGAAATGCAATCAAGGACTCGCGTGTGTGTTCACAGGCAGCGCTCTGGCAGTGCAGCAAGACTCGCACGAACAGCACCGAACGCACGAAGCCTCTGCAGGTTGGAGGTTTCGTCTCAACGGCCTGACTGAGCGCTTCCCCGCGCACAAAGGGATTGCGAAGAACACCTCATGGGAACTGGAGCCAAACACAGCGCAAGCAAATGCTTTGCGCAGTGCTAAACTTTGGACGATTTTTACGGCCCGTCATTCTGCAAGCCCGCGACACCGGCAGTTGCAACTTGAACGCGCAGCTCGAAGCTTGCAGAGAGAACCTCTGGAACTTGGCTGCCAAGCACTACAAGTAGCGCTGCGTGCCTGGCTCTCGCAGTGGAATGCCCAAATGCCTCAAGCCAGCTGTGCGTTCAAGCCAGTGTTGCTGTCCACCTGCTGGCTGTCAGGCCGAGACCTTTCGGCGGCTGAAACTCGGAGCACAGAGCCTGAAGGCATGTGCTGGAGGTCCTGGTTGAGAGAGGATGGTCTTGGCTCTCAAGCAACTCATCTCAACACCTGCTCGTGCTAGCAGCACTTTGCAGCTGCCGACGTTGGCTCACCTCAAGACTGCCCGACAGCCTGCGCCGGCGCACAGCATCTCGGCGAAACTCTCAAGCGCAAATGCTTCACAACCTCTGAACTTTCCGCTTGCGCCGGCATGGCTGAGGCGCGGGCCACTGCCAAGCCCATTGCCTGAGCTGGCTGGCAATGAAGGCCGTGCTGAGCTGCAGAGTTCCTTGCCCTTTGAGAGGGGCCATGCCATGCTGAAGCTGCTACTATACTCAGAGCCAGTACAAACTGATCGCAAAAAAACGGGACATCCTTGGGTTGAATGCACATCTCTGCATCGTGCACAAGCAGCCTCTGGCTCAAACCTGCCTGCTGCGGGTTAACTCATGCGCTCGTGGTTTCACGCTGCACATCGCTGCAGCATTCCAACAAGGCCGGGGCAGTGGGACAGGTGGTGATGATGGAACGAGTGCCTGAGCTGGCTGGCAATGAAGGCCGTGCTGAGTTGCAGAGTTCCTTGCCCAGCTGACACGCGCTTTGAGAGGGGCCATGCCATGATGAAGCTGCTACTATACTCAGAGCCACTACAAACTGATCACACAAAAACGGGACATCCTTGGGTTGAATGCACATCTCTGCATCGTGCACAAGCAGCCTCTGGCTCAAACCTGCCTGCTGCGGGTTAACTCATGCGCTCGTGGTTTCACGCTGCACATCGCTGCAGCATTCCAACAAGGCCGGGGCAGTGGGAGAGGGTGATGATGGAACGGTTGGGTTCTAGGGGTCACTTGCTGAGAAAGCAGCGGCTGAACTGCTGCCCTGGTGCATGGCATGTCCACCCCAACAACCTTTCCAAGGTGGGATTGACATCCCCAACCCTCACAAACAGATCACGACGCAACCGCCCCTTCCAAATCTCGAAAGGGTACGCCATTCAAACAGAAAGGTGACCGGGATGCGGCTGCAAGGGCACTTTAAATACACGGGCCCAGATTGTGTGAAAGCCTCCAGGCTTGTGCGAAAGCCGACAAGTCCCGGTCCGCCATTGGAGGAGTGCTCCGGACTCGCACCTCCGGAAGGATTTAAGTGCGCGCGCATGCCGCTGGCGGGACCAGGCGACAGACCACACCCGAAATCCACTCAGCACTAAAACTAGAGGCAAGAGTCAACTGCATGGACCGAACGGGGAACATTCCGCAAAGGCAACCCAGGCCTTTGCGGAATGCTCCCAGTAGGCGATTCAAGCCGTAGATCAACTCGGGCTTTGCAGCTCTTGTTCGTGTGCAGACTCGGAGTCCGAATCAACACAGGACTGCAGAACAAAATGAATAAGCTGGCAGCTGCAAGAACAGAGCCGCTGACTCGAGCCAAACAAATGGCAGATATGTAGTTGTATTTAAGCGCCCTGCTCAAAACTGGCCATTACCACGGGCAGCATAGACACCTGACCGGGAGATGTCGCATAGTGCGTCCTTTGGCACCCTGCAACGGTACAGGTCAAACCTGCACTTCTACGCACAAGAGGTCTGATCTGCATGCCCAAGTTTTCTGCAATCCTTGGCACAATGGGACTGAGTTCCGAACTGCCCTCGTGATTGAATGTGCGCATGCCTTTCCACTCGCTCACTGTGGAACAAACAGACTCTCTGCTGTTGCCTCAGGTTCTTGGTTGTGTGCGACCTGTTGCTCTGAGTCTTGCACACCCCTTTGTTTCATCAAAGGTGTCAGCACAGTCGGGAAGCCACAATGGTTCCCACAAACACGTTCAGCTGTGGGATTCTACGGGAGACTTATGGGCATCGGCCGCCTCATGCGGATCGAGCTTCAACATGGCGGCATAGATCGAATTTCTCTTGTGAGCCAATCTCGGGCATCGGAGCATAAAAAACATACCTCAGCACGACATACGCAAATCTATAACATGGTGGAATCTGATACAGGTGGAAAAACACCCGGAGAGAAGCCTCAATTTCTTGGGTGTGCTTGATTTCTTGGGGGTAGCTTGTTCGAGGATCTCTCACGGGGGAAAAAAAAAGAGAAAGAAACAAAACTCTACTCGGAACTTGGTAAGCTTCTTCCCCCTGAATCTTCCTCCGGAAGGCTTCCAATTGAACTAACAAAGTTCTTGCTTGCGCAGTTTCTCATGTCGAGTCTCCAATCAGCTTCCAATAGTCACTTGCCCTAAAACCTGGCGGTGTCCTTTGGGTGTCATAAAAATCATGCTGCTTTCGCATTTGTAGTAACAATGTGAGACAACATCGGGTGTTCTACACACAAAACCGCAAGAGATAACGTGTTCCCTTTTGGTTTCCCTAGAAGCCAACCTAAGGTCACACTCGAAAAACAAAAGCACCTGGCCATTATCTTTTAAAAAAGAAAATGCACTCTCAACAAGAAGAAAATAACAGAAAACAACCAAAACAACCAAAAGGACAAAAAACAAGAGCTGCCCCCCCCCCCATTTTCCAAAGGTCTGGCGAAGAGAGGTCGTTCCAGGACCTAGCTTAAACTGGGGTCCCTACTGTGGATGGACAAAATCCATTTCGCACCACTTTGAAATCATGAGAACCCCTTGTTCGTTGGTATTTGCAGGGGGATCATCACTCAGGGATTCTGAGGTGGTGCGAAATGGATTTCGCAACCATCCACAGTAGTAAAGACCCAGTTTGGCGAGGTCCTGGAAGCCTTCAACCTCAAAAAACTGGGTTGAGCCATGGATTGAAGACAGTTTAGCGAAGGCCACCCTAAAAAAGAAGTCAAAAGAACTGGCAAAAAAAACACGAACACAACTAGGTCCTCCAGATTTGAGAGGTTAGAATAAGTTGGTACCCGATTTTTTTCCGGTAGTTTATTTTAGTAGGGTTTTTCCCTCCCAGCCAAAAAAGAAAGGGTGAGAGGTCGGGCACCAATTGGTGGGGGATCAACCGACAAATGAACTACTCACACAACAAACCGACAAAAAACAGGGGGAAAAAAAGAATAACAACAAAAAACGACGAAAAAATACGAGAAAACAACAAATAAATAAAGAAACCAGAAGACCCAAAAAAAGAACCTCCCCATCTTCCTCAACCTCTGGCTCAAAAAAACGCCTCCTCTTCCGTTTCCGTTTTTCAGGGCCTTTCGGTCCCCGAAGCCAGTCTCGTCAAAGACCACCTTTGAGGAGAGCACCTGGCGCAGAGAACGGTAAAAAGTAGCCAAACTATGCCGAACTTGAAAGATTTACCACGAAAATGGTCCCACCCCAAAAGGCTTGAAATAACTCAAACTCAGGAATGCGTCAAATGGGGGGGTGAAACTGTTGGGAAACCCCCGAAACGCGAACATATCGAAATATGTGATTCGGGCACGGACCTGTGCCGAGGCGATTGGACAAGTTGGGGGAAACTAGCCAGAAAAGAAAGGCCCCAAAACAGTAACCAATCCCCGGCCTCCACACACACAAGTGACCAAACAACCACAATCCAAGCCAAATCAACAGGGAAAAGGATATCCGCAACCTGGGTCGACGATGAACCGCACGGGCACTCCCCACCAACCTGCCCCGGGCCGAAGTCTCCTTCTCCTCCACGTGGGGACCCGGCGACGCTCATCCGAGGCCGCGACGGATCCAAACTTCATCAGAACCCACATAGGTAGTTGCGCGACATCAAGGGCATTAAATTCCCGACACCACCCCGAATTAATCGGGGTAACGCTGTCCAACATACCCCGTGAAAAGGTCTACGTAATGACACTACTGTTTGCATCGGGTTGTATTCTTATCAGAAGCCATGTAGATGTTCGACAAGTTGAATGATAGCACCCTCGCCTATCGGCAAGATGTGCTTCCTACCACGTATCACCCAAAATTAGATTCATCTAGTGGAATTGGAGCGGTGCGGGTTGGGCATGAGCATCACCCAACGCCGACCATCGGAGGACGAAGGCTTCAGCCTATCGGCCACCCCTCTCCGGTCACGTCCGCCCCTCCGATCCCGATCCGATCTCCTCCGGGTCTCTCTCCTCCCCTCCCTGTCTTCCTCACTCGACACAACACGGTCTCGTTAATTCGTGTAAGGGGACTTATAGTCAAGGTTGGCAGAACTAGCAACTGTGTATCTAAAAATCTAGAACTAACTGTAAATAACTAAAACAAGTAAAACTAACTAAAATAACGAGAAATAACTTTTAGACAGTTTTTGCATTTTTTGCAGAAGCGACAAAATGCGGAAATCACACGAATTATCGAGTTTTGCATAAATCGCAGCCAAACATGCGCAACCGGCAGTCTGTAAAATCTGTACAGTCATGGAAACACCTGCGCAATTGACGCAGCGAGTTTTGACAAGCAGGAGTCCATGGGAGCCTGTGCTTCGCAAGCGTGCTTGTTGATTGAGGGTTCGGTCATCAGATTTGTCTTTTTTCCGCATGTGTGTTTGTCCGTTGCGTAGCTGCAGCAGGAAGCTTTTGCCAGGGTTTCCTACATTTGGCTGGGCCAGTTTTCGCCAAGCAGGATTTTTGGCAGCTGCGTCTGCTCAACCCGACTGCGCGCCAACTTTCAATAAGCAGGACTTACCTGTTGCGCACACCTGGACTCGTTTGCTGCCGCGGGTTTGCGTGGCGAGCCTTTCAGCAGCAGAGCCTTCACTTCACATGTGATGTCTGTAGAATGGAACACGCGGGTTTCCACGGCGAGCATTTCAGCAGCAGTATTTCTTCATGGGAGCGTTCACCTCACATGTGATGTCTGTAGAATGGAACACGCGGGTTTCCACGGCGAGCATTTCAGCAGCAGGATTTCCCCATGGGAGCCTTCACTTCACATGCGATGTCT